TCATTGATCAATATATTTTTACCAAGAATAACATAAATAAAACAATATTAATTTTTATGCACATTAGTGACTGTAAACTCAAAATAAATAATATAAAATGCGTATAACAATACATGACTTTTATTAATAGTTAAAATTTATAATAGTCTTAGAACTTATCTTCAATATTGCATAAATAAATTGATAGAATACATTGTAAATTTAAAATTTTTTTAGTTAAATTTTTTATTGTTAATATTATTTAATAAAACGCATTGTTAAGCGAAAAAATGCCTTGTAATGAATAAATATAAAAATTAAAATAGTCTTTTATAAATTATTCTCAAAATATCTGACCTTAATTTAATTGACACTTAAGAATAAAAAAAATACAATGAGGTACTTAAAAAACATTTTTATTTAATTGTCAATTAGAAAACGTTTAAAGAATATAAAAAATTAAAGAATTACCAATTTTTTAAAAATAGTATTGAATTTTATCATAATAAGAGATAAAAATTATAGAAATACAATAACGGAAGTAAGAATTAAATTTCTTTTTTCTAAATAACATATTTGCTTTTATTTATTCGCGACTGAGATTTATGAATTTGTTTTTATTACATTTTGTTAAATTTTTATGTTTGACCCACTAGTCAAAAAACGTAAAATTTTACAAATTTTTTTTCTCTTAATTATGCAAATACCAGAATTTACAAAACTTATTTTTAAAGAAGAAGAATTGTCAGATTTTTTTTTTAACGAGACATTTTGCGAGTTTTAATGTTTAACAAATGCAATAAACTAATTGCCAAAGTAATGACAAGTTCTTTTAAATACAGCTGTTATTTGCGCCGTAATTTTAATAAGTGTTTTAACGAGGGCTATTGCTTGAAGAAAGTATTTTAAAAAAACACAACTAAGTTTAGAGACCATATTAATTCTACTATGCTAGTGAGTAAAAGATTCATCAAATAATGCTTGTGTGGTTGAGCTTGATATCGATATGAGCATAGTCTCTAGATGATATTTTCGGTTAAATAATGCTGTGCTTGACTGAATTTTTAATAATATTTAGTATTAGTCAATAGGAAAGAAGTTTTATACTGTCGAAATCGACAAAACAGGTTTTTAAACAGCAAAGATTTTCAAGGTTGTCTTTTACAATATCAAATATTGGCGGTCAGTTCTGTATTTAGAGGAAATACAAATACTTTTTTTGAAATAGTGGACAGTAGACAAATATGTACTTTGGTAGAACTTATTAGGAGAAAAGTAGCACCAGAATTGGTCATTATTACAAATTACTTGCGAGGTTATCCTGCTATACCTAATATTTGTGCTGATCTTGGATATACTCATGAGACGGTGAACCATTCAGTAAATTTTGTAGATAACGTTTCTGGTGCAAATATCCAAGTTGTTGAAAGAATTTGTTTGTAATTAAGAGTGAATTAAGAAAGAAGGGAACAGCCCATAATATCTTGGTAAATCTAGTGCGTAAAATTTACATATACCGCTTTAAATTACTACATAGAAAATCTACTTAAAAAGATTCTCGAATTTCATAAAATTATATATTGTTGCTTGATTAATTAGCAAAAATTTGAACGAAAGTAATTTTGACTACCTCGTTAATGATGAGGAATTATAATAAATATTCTTTAACATTATTTTTGTATTTTTATAAATTTGTAAAACTTTAAGGATTTTGACAAAGTGAGGGGGGAAACATGCAAATTTACCTACATGTTCACATGTATTGTTAGGTTTTATGTTCAATGTATAATCAAATAGCTAGGTAATTTAATAAAAATAAACTTTAAATGAAATCAAAAAACAGAATTTTTTTATTAATAACTTATATGATTTCTCATGTTCTAATTACTGCTTCATTTTTTAAATCCTGATATTAACTTTTAAACAATTCTTTGGGAATCTTGTTCCATACTTATATTGCGCAACTTAAATTCTTAAATATTTTTACACCACCTAGCACTAAAATTTTTCTTTAAAACATATCATAGATTCTCAATTACTTTAAATCGTAATTTGTTATGACGACTCTATTAATTTTACATTTATCAATCTTTAAAACTCCTTTGTAAGATTTGATGTGTGCTTTGTATTGTTAATATTGAAAAAATTCTTTTAAGTAAAATTTACAGCACTTTGGAATAAATTATCATTGAGAATTATAGTATATTTTATACTAGCCATTTTACTTGTAAAAATGAGAATATTTTA